GCCCTGAGTGCGAGCAGCGCTTCTCCAGCCGCTCGGACCTGGCCCGGCACCGCCGCATCCACTCGGGGGAGAAGCCGCAGCGCTGCGGGGACTGTGGCAAGAGTTTCCTGTGCCGCTGGAAGCTGACCCGGCACCAGCGCATCCACTCGGGGGAGAAGCTGCACCGGTGCCAGGACTGCGGGAAGAGCTTCGCTCGCCCTGACGGCCTGGCTGCTCACCGCCGCATTCACTCGGGTGAGAGGCCGCACCGCTGCGGGGACTGCGGCAAGAGCTTCACGCAGTCGTCCGGCCTGGCCGTCCACCGTAAGTTCCATTCGGGGGAGAAACCCCACGGCTGTCCCGACTGCGGGAAGAGCTTTGTGCGCCGGCCAGACCTGGCCCAGCACCGGCGCATCCACTCGGGCGAGCGCCCATATGTCTGCGGTGCCTGCGGGAAGAGCTTTGTCAACAGCTCCAACCTGGCCCGGCACCGCCGCATCCATGTGCAGGCGCTGGCTTGACTTGGCCCCCATGGTGGACGCCCCTTCAGCCTCCACACCTCCTGCCCTCAGGCAGACGGCTTGCCAAGGGTAGAGAGATGTGTCCGGCCCTCATGAGGCACCGAAAGAGTCGCTGGGTCCAGAGGCCTGACCCTGGTATTTGATGGGGAGCAGAGAGGATGTTCCCTTTTGCCAGAGGGAGTTAGCTGGCTGTGTTCCTTGCTGCCCCTCAGGAATGACGTCAGAATCCGCCTCAGAATCTGGCCCTGCCCAGGCAGAGCCATAGTGGACAGGAGAGGCTGGGGCAGGGGTCAGCACGGGCACCATGACCTCCCCCTCTTTCTGACATTGACCCCGGACCCTGCTGCACTGAGACTGTCCAGTTCTCCTGCATGGACCAGCAGTGCCTTCCCGGCACGAGGCCACAGGCAGGCCTGACAGGCACCCTGGGACTGTCACTCCGGTTCACTGCCATGGCATGGGCTGGTGGGCTTGTTCCTCCAATCATTCTTGGGGTCCCAGTACTGGAGGGTCTTGGGCTGCAGCATTCATGGTATTTATGACCAGAGAAGCATTTGCTGAACCCCATCTCCCCCCCACCCCCCAACAAATCATCGCTCCCCCTGAAATGTTTGTGCCTGTAACTCTCCCAGTGTCCCTCACGGCTTCTCTTGTCCTCTCAGCGGACTGTTAGCAGGAACCTCTGGGCAGTGTGGACCAGAGTGCCTCTGCTGGCTTTGAGATGGGGGCTGTATAGAGCAGTCCTGTCCTTCTTCGTGCCCTTGGGACAAGGTATTTAGCAGAAGTCGCAGCTTCATTGGCAGCCGATGGGCCCAGGCTGCAAGCGCTTCTGCCATGGCAAAGGAGAGACAGCCCACGACATAACCTACCTCTCCTATGGAAGTGTGGGGCAGCCTCTTGAGGGGGCAAATTCAGCACATTGGACTCTCCCGTTGCAAGTGTCAGGTCTTGGCTGGTCCCCAAACCATTCAGCTCCGTGATTCTCCTGTGGCAGTGACTCCCAAAGGCTATTGACCATCCATCCTATCACCTCTTCCCCGATGCCGTGTCATGCTGAACAGGGCACCCAATGGACATCTTTCCTGACAGATCAGGTGTCCCAAAGTCAGGAACTGATCCCCACGTCCCCTAGACCATATTTTTTTTAAAGAAAATAAACCTCATGTTGTTTGAACAGCCCTTGTGATTCGGGGGTGGGGAAGGACCAGTTTGTCTTGTGTTGGAAGTGGCCGTAAAAGGAGTTTTGAAAGGGACCTGGCCCAGGTTGAATTTCCAAGGGGCTGAGATGGCCAATGGGCGCGGGCGTCAAAGGGATTGAAGTGCCTTGGAGGGGAGGTCAGCATCCTTGGTCTGGAGGTCTGCCTTCAGCATGTCCTTGTAGCGTTTCCTCTGCCTGCTGCGAGATTTCAAGCCATTCCAGTGGCATCCAGGCTCTTGATGTGACAGTAGTAGGCCACCCATGAGCTGTACCCCCCAGGCCTTCAGCACAGACCCCATGAGGAGGCTGTAGAGGCCTTCAGGCCAAGGTGATCAAGCCTGTAGCCAACCCACCCCCCTGAGCCCCCGCTCAGTCAGGAAGCTCCCCCTCATCTCCAGCCTCAGTTTCCCCAGCTGCAAGCTTGAGGCCATTGCTCCTAGTCCTGCCCCCTGCAGAGAAGAAAGTCCATCCCCATCCTCTCTGTTACCATCCTTCAAGAAGCCTGTGATCAAATCCCTGCTCAGGCTTCTCTTCTACACTCTCAGTTGCTCCAGCTCTTCTGGCCTCTCCTGATCATCCCTGTCTCCCTGGCCCTTGATCATTTCTTTTGCCCTGTGCTGGACTCTTT